TGTCTCCCTCATCCCGGTGCTGGGGCAGGTCCGCCCTCCCCCCGGCCCCCTAGGGAGTGGTGGCCGGCAGAGCTCGGCACTCCTGTGCCTGCCACAAAGCCACGCCTGGCGCCCGTCACCAGGCACCCCCCGACCCCCTCTGCGGTCTGGAAAGCCGCCAGCTGGATGGCAGGAGCTCGCATGGCCTCGCCCAGACCAGGGCTCGTCCCGTGTCTTGTACCGGGCACCGCGCTTGGCCCTCGGCCCCAGGGCTGTTCTCTGGCCCTCAGCCCTGCTGCCTCCCTTCCCACCTCACCACTGTCCCTCCTCAGCCTGAAACATGACCTCTGTCCTTGCTGGCCTCCGGTGCTGTGATGGTGGCCTCTCATCGGCGACACCTGGCCTCAGCCCCGAGCTCCCTCAGGGCCACCCCGCCCTCCACTCTGCACCTGCCGGCCTGAGCCCCGCTGCTGGTACTCCTGCCCGCTGGAGCCTGGGCCGTGGTCCTGCTGGGCCACACAACCAGGGCAGGAGCCAGAGGAACCCCAGCCATACTCTCGAGGCCTGACCTTGGCCTTCCGCCCGGGCCGCAGCTCCCTATGGCTTCTGTCAGTGAGGGTAGGGTGCCTCCCTGGGGACCAGGCGGAGCCCAGCGGCCACCTCCCTGTCCAGGACTCGGAAAACTTTCTCCTTCTGAAACCTGGGTTTGCCCGAGGCATACTCGGAGGCAGCGGGCCAGTGACCAGGAGTGGCCAGTGGTCTTCATGCTACCCGGGTCTGAGCGGCAGAGCGGGAGGGTGGCCTCGTCCAGGTGTGGTGAGGTCCTTAGCTGTAGCCTCGTCTTTCCCAGGACTCGTGGCCAGGACGGCAGGGCCAGGGAGCTGCCCGGGAGAGCTTTGGCCCTGGCCGCAGGCCTTGGCCTCTGGCCCCAGCAGCCCAGGCTGGTGGACAGGGCCCTGCTGTGCTGAGGCCATGTGGAAGGCCAGGCTTGGCCTCCGGGATGGGGTGCCGTACACCCCAGGTGTGTCTATGCACCGTGGCCCCTCTGGTGGGGCCGGGGCGGGTCACGGCACGAGCCGTCTTCACAGGAGCCCTTTCTTGCATGAAAGGAGTATTTTTTTGTTTGTTTGTTTGTTTTGAGAGTTTTTTGCTATAGGGCGCATGTGCTCGCCAGAAAGACAGAGAGACAGAGAGACAGATAGAGAGAAATCACCCCTTAGGGGGTATGGTCATGCCACAATCCCTTCTCCTCCATTCTCCTCTCGGGATCTCAGGCATGCACACACACGTGCCCGGCGTGAGTTTAAGCCACCGGGTCCAGGACGTGAACCGCGGTCGACTACGTGGGAGTCCAGCGACATAGCCATTACGTTAACTGCTGGTCCCAGAAGTATGTTTTTTTTTTTTAAAAAGGACGTTTATTTTATAGCCTCCAGCTCCCTAGGTGCCTTTTCTGCTTTCAGGTTCTAGCAGGTTTAAGAGCTGTCACCCACACTTCTCCTGAGGATGTGAGCTTTGCCGAGTCCAGGAGAGACGGCTTGAAGGCCATCGCGAGGTGAGGCGCCTGGCCCCTCCCTAGAGCCCTGCTCCTCCAAGGAGCCAGCGGCTGGGAGCATGTGGACGCCCAGGCATGGAGCTGTGGTTCCTCATGCGGGGCGAATGGTTAGTTTCATTTGCCAGCTGCTTCTCCCTCAGAGGACTGTCCGCATTTCCAGCCGGGCAGGCCCAGTCGGGTTCTGGGCCGCCCCGATCTGGGCATTCTCAGTCTGCAGCGCACCACGCTGGGCTTGGAGATGCACTTTGGTCCTGTAGGCACGGAGGCCGAGCCCAGCAGCCGGCACTGGCGTGATGTCCATGTTGTGACCAGCACATGTGCTGGGTTTCCCTCTGCCCCAGCTTCCCCAGAGCACGGGAGCACCCGCCTTGCACTGCATGTCCCCTGGCGTCAGCACGGCCCCTCGGCCAGGGTGGAGGTGTGGCAGGGCTCACAGACACCTCTGCGTCCAGAGAGCGCAGAACTGTCGAGCGCAGAGGGTGCCCTCCAGGAGTGCCCGCCCAGTTGCGTGTGCAGACGGAGCCCCCGGTCCTGGGCCTGCCTCGGGTCCGTCCTGGGCTGCATGTGCTCTCAGGAAAGGCACACCGGGCCACGGTGGTGTGAGGCAGATTGTGGTACATACCCTGCGTGTTCTTCGTCTCAGGGTCTGCAAGACCGTAGGTGTGAGAGCAGACGGGCCGGCGGAGGAGGCCGTGTGCAGGGAGGACCTCTCCCAGACCTTCTCCGCGCTGCTGGGCTGCATGGGCGACTACACCACCGACAGCCGCGGGGACGTGGGCGCGTGGTAAGACCAGCATTGGCGGTTGTCACCTCGTCCCACGAGTGTCCCCAAGGAGAGGACAGGCTTCCTGCCTCACACCCGCGACACCAAGGACAGCCGAGAGCCACTCATGCCCGGCAAGGTCGCCTGACTGCTGTCCCCTGCCCCAGGGTGGACTCCGTTCCCAGTCCCACCCGCTGCATTCCACTCTGGGCCAAAACCCCAGAAAAGCCGTGAAACGCAAATGCTGTCCGACTCCCGTGTCTGAGCCTCAAGTATGCAGCTTGTCTCGGACTGGCTCCTGGCAGACGTGTGCAGGAGCAGGGAGGCTGCCACGTCCCGTGGGGCGGGACCCGAGGCAGAGGGGGCACATCCGTGGCATTTAGGAAGAAAACGCTCATTTTGGGTGGAAGTTTTGGGCCCTCTGTGTCTGGCCCAGCTCTGGCACCTGTCTCGTCTCGCCCTGATGTCGCTGGCGGGCTCATGCTCTCAGGAGCACTTTCTGGCTTCCTGGGACAGAGCCAGCTGCCCTTGTCTGACCAGGAAGTGCGAGGGCAGAGCAGGGGCTGCGTCTGTGTCGTCAGAGTCACGAGAACGGGGATGCGCGAGTGACGGCCCTGCGTGGCCAAGCTTCCGCCGCGGCGCCGTTAGGTCCTCCTTCGCCCCTTCGTCTGCCCTCGTTCTGCGCACCCCTCACCCGAGCGCCAGTCCTGAAGCCCTGAGTTTTGTCCCCCTTATCCGTGTGAGTCCCGGTCACCTCGTCGGGTGTACTGACCCCCCCTTCAGCGTCTCCCGGTGGGGAGGCTGTCCCATCAGACTGCTGCTAACGCTGTGCTCCTTGGGGAGCTGTTCCGGCGTCTCCCCTCGTTTGCCAACACTCCCCTCTCACCGTCTGGACTGTTCGCCCGGCTGCTCCAGCTCACCTGCTCATCCCGACTGAGATGGGCCGTGTGCACTCCCTGGGTCGGCGGGGCCAGGCCTTCGCTGCAGCCGAGCCCAGCGAGGACCAGGGTCTTCCTGGACTAGGAGGGCGCACGGCCTCCCTGCCAGCAGGGAGCTGTCGTGACAGTTCCTGGGGCTCCCACCTGCCCTCCCCACCAGGCCCGGCTGCTGTGGCTGCAGCGCCCAGGAGCAGATGCCCCTCAGGTCACTGGCCCCGGCCACACAGGCCACCCCTGTGAGCTGCTTCCAACGTCTGAGCCAAGTCTGGGTTTCTTCCCCTGAGCACGGCCACTTTCCTGGTCCTGGCACCCAGCGTGGTCAGGATGAGTCCTTGATACTCTGAGGCCGTGTCGCGGGGACTCGGGCTTCTGTCTGTGCCATTGAGAGTGCTGCTGGCTCCAGCGGGCAGTGGCCTGGTTGGAGCACGGGCCTGTGACCTCGGCCGCACTGCGGGGCAGCCGACGGCACGTGTTCACGGTCAAGCCAGACCTGGGGTTTCCCTTCTTTCGGGATGCCCTCTGCACCCTGGCCCCTCACAGTTCAAGCCAGTGTGACAGTGGGTTTTCAGTGGTGTTTGGTGGCCACCCTCTGAGCACAGAGAAGAGGGCAGCTGGCTGGCGCTGGGGGTGCTGCCTGGCACTGTGGTGCCTCTTGCCGGGAACCCGTGTGGCTCAGGGTGCCTGTCTTCTCTGCGCCTGAGCAGCAGAAGCCCTGCTGTAGGGGTGTGGTGGTGCGCTGTGGCCCAGGCCCATGGGGTCTCATCCTCCCCCAGGTTGCCAGGCCCTGGCTCTGAGTGAAAGGCTGCCTGCTCTGGAGTTGGGCCGCTGTGCCTGTCCTCTTCCTGACTCCTGCTGGGTGCGCCACCTCGTGTGGAGAGCCTCCTGGGGAGGCAGGTCTGTTCAGAGGAGACGGAAGCTCTGCAGTCCTTGCAGGGAGGCCCCAGAGCAGCGTGCTCTGTGTGCAAAGCTCGTGGAGCAGGGCCTGTCACGTGTGTGTGTACGCGTGTGCAGTGGGGTTCTGAGGACGTGCCCAGTCTGTCTGGAGGATCAGGCACGCCTCCTCACTGGCCTGGTGCGGGGAGAGGGGTTCCCTGGCGGGAGGCCGCGCTGCCCTGTCGGGTTTCGCAGGTGTTCTCAGTCTCAGCTTGTCCCGCTTGAGACCAGGTGTGGCTGGCAGGGCTCTTCCGTGTTCTCACAGTGCAGAGGGGCCTTAGGCTCCTCCCAGCTCGGCTCTTTGGGAGTGACCGGCTCTCAGAGAAGAGCCCCGTGTGGGGTCCCTCACGGGCATGGTGCTCGCCAGGACCAGGATCAGGGCTACACTGAGCTGGGCTGCCCTGTCCTTGTCCCCAGGGTCCGCGAAGCTGCCATGACCAGCCTGATGGATCTGATGCTGCTGGTGACACAGAGCCAGCCCGCGCTGCTCGAGGCCCACGTGTGAGTGTCCACGGGGGCAGTGAGCCACGGTGTCTGGGCCACGGGAACGGGTAGTCCAGTGTGTGGTGGGTCTATACTGCAGGACGGGCATGCTCCCTCCCAGATCCCGGAGCTGGGACTGGCTTTGCGGCCCCTTCTGCGGCGGCGTGGCGGCAGCTGGTAAGGGCTGGTGGCTGTGCACCGTGGCCCTGAGCCGAGCTGAGCACGCCGCTCTGGTCTGCAGCTGTGAGCGGGTCATGTGCTGCGTGGCCCAGCAGGCGAGTGAGAAGATCGACCGGTTCCGTGCGCGGGCCGCCCAGGTCTTCCTGACGCTCCTGCACTTCGATGGCCCCCCAGTACCCCACGTGCCTCACCGAGAGGAGCTGGAGAAGCTGTTTCCCAGGTACTCCGGCGCCTCGTGCCAGCCCTCCAGCTTGGTGAGGCGCAGGGGCCCCACCTCTGCACTCGCTCTTGCAGGTCTGACGTGGCCTCTGTCAACTGGAATGCGCCGTCCCAGGCCTTCCCTCGTGTCACCCGGCTCCTGGGGTTGCCCACCTACCGCTACCACGTCCTCTTGGGGCTGGCCGTGTCCGTGGGCGGCTTGACAGAATCTACGGTGAGGAAGCCCCTGGCCGGGCCAGGCGGGAGAATGTGGTGGGCTGCAGGTGGTGTGGTATCTGGCTGGACCTGCCCGGAGCGAGCAGTGCTATTGGAGGCGGGAGGGCCACCAAGCCTCTGTGGCTTTTTCTGGGCACGCTTGGTTTGGGGCCAGCACGTACTGTGGCCCGGCAGGCTGAAAGGCCTGGCACTCGGAGGACAAGATTCTGGAGCGTGACTTGCAGTGTGGTCGGGTCTGAAGGAGGTGGGGGAGTCTTGTGTGGTCTCAGCAAACGTGGCCGGGCTCAAGGTCTCCTTGTCCCTTGGGCCACTACCCTGGATACCCAGCCCCCAGCAGTGCCCCGAGCACCAGCACCTTTCTGCACCACTGTCCGTGGCCTTGCTGTGGACACGTGGCCTCAAGAGTGCACGGGTGTGGGCTCTGCCATGGGCTCCTTACAGCTCAGAGATGGCGAGGGTATGGAGGGCTCGGAGCCGCTCACTCTTCTCCTCTGGGGCGCCCAGGGCAGGGACAGCACAGGCAAATGCAAGGTGGCCAGGGCTTGGAGGGCTGCCCTTGGCCCACACCGCACTCAGTGACAGCCACAGACTTGGGACCTCCCGACCCCACCTCCTCCCATTGCGTCCCCGCGTCCCGCACCTCCCTCGGACAGGCTGCTCTCCTGGCGCTCCGTCCTCCCTGTGAGGGCTGCTGGCCTCGTGAACTGCTGCGTGCACTGTCCGGCCCCTCTGCTCTGAGCATACCGGAGTGCCATGGCCCCTCCCTCGGACAGGCTGCTCTCCTGGCGCTCCGTCCTCCCTGTGAGGGCTGCTGGCCTCGTGAACTGCTGCGTGCACTGTCCGGCCCCTCTGCCCTGAGCATACCGGAGTGCCATGGCCCTTGCCGTCGACCTCTTGGGCTTCAGCCCGAAGGCCAGGTCTGACCCCAGACGCAGTGGCCTCGGCCCGCCCTGGCCCAGCCCTGGGGTTTGCAGGGAGGGCCTGGCCCTCCTGTCTGTGTCTGCCATCGAGTGCGGAGTTGCAGGGCCCCGTGGCAGTCGCCTCGTCTGGCAGGTGTGGGGTGTGTCTCGAGAGGCGTGGTTTGCAGCATGGGCACCGCAGTGGCTGCACTGGGTGGCACACTCGCCAGGTGTCCCAGCTTCTCATGCTCTGGCCTAGCCGCCGCGGCGCTGAGGTGGATGTTGGAGGACTGTCCTCATGCCTGGCGTGGGGGTGGCACGGGCTCACAGAGCCTTTCCCGGCAGGTCCGCCACTCCACCCAGAGCCTCTTTGAGTACATGAAGGGGATTCAGAGAGACCCGCAGGCCCTGGAGAGCTTCAGCGGGACTCTCCTGCAGGTCTTCGAGGACAACCTGCTCAATGACAGGTGGGCGGTGCCTCTCGGCCATTGGGGCTGTCCCATAGCTGGGCTGTCCTGACCCTTCGCCTGCCCACGTGCACTCACTGTCGGCTCCTCGGCCTCTCCATGGAGGTCCCCCCCGGCCCCCCCAGCCAACCAGCATCCTCTCCTGCAGGGTGTCTGTGCCGCTGCTGAAGACGCTGGACCAGATGCTGGCCAACGGGTGCTTCGACGTCTTCACCTGGGAGGAGAAGTGAGGCTGTGGGTTCTGAGCGCTGTCTGGTTAGGCCTAAGTAGCTCGCGCTGTCAGAGAGATCTGTCAGCATCCAGAGCCCTCGGGGTGACTTCTCAGCACCCCTGGCTCGTGTCTGTGTGGGGTGGGGGACCCTGCCATGGCGCCTGCATCCAGGTGGGAAGACAGTGGGCGGGAGTTCCTCTACAGAGGTGGGGGCAGTTCTAAAAGCCGCTGGAGGCCAACGGGGCC